GAATAACATCGCTTCATCGGAGGCCTCACTGATGATGTCACCTAGCATGGTGACGAAACGTCTGAATGAAAACAAGCCAGTTCGACGAGCAAGTCAACAACCTCAGTGATATTTACCATTTTCATGGGGGTGAGAAAAGGGACTGGCTGTGTTTTGTGTACATTATGGAGGCAGCTGGCTATTTAAATTATCAGCTGCCTCCACAGAACTAGGAGAAGTTGTAGCCCTGGACAATGTAGTATGCAGATTAGACCTGATAAGAGGATGTATGAACTTTGTGATTCACTTAGATAACCAGGGTCCCCCACCCTCTCAGAGAAGTAAGGTACTCCATTGGAGCTGCTCATGCTACATCTTTACGGGAGGTAATGTATCCTTTGGAATTGTTAAAAAAAAGGCATGAATATGTATAGAAAATGCATGAACCCGATATTGTTAGACCCATGAGACCTGCCAGCAAACCTATCAAGATCAAATGTCAAAACTGCCAGAAGCACCTGCCACAAGGATCTGTTAATGTCAAGAGGTCAAAGAAGATAAGAAATGGGAACAGGAGTAGGCCATTCAGCCAGTTGAGCCCAGAATGCCACTCACTGAGATCATGGCTGATCTTTTACTTCTACACCATTTTCCTGTACTGCCCCTGTCTCCCGCAATGATTTTAATACACAGAAATATCTCAATCTCTGTATTGAACACACTTAATGATTCAGCCATAGCAGCCATTTAGGGTGAATAATTCCAAAGGTTCACCACAGAGTGGGGGAGAAAAAAGGCTTCCTCATTTTGCCTGTCACTTATTCTGAGATTGTTGCCATATTAAAGAGACCAATAAGTGTCAAGTGTCACAACTTCAATGAATTCCAGTGTTTGTTGCTATAAAGCATGTTCAAGAAGCAGTTTTTGTAGTAAGGCTTTATTTAATTTAGGGAATGTAAATTAAGTTAATAGAATTTCAGAGTTATTTCCAATATAGTGAAGCCCAAAATCTGCACTTTTAACATGATTATGCCATCACTGGAGGTAGTGAGAAGGGCAGATAATGGGGCAATATGGCCCTGGAGGAATACATGTCCCCTTATCAGCGTCCCAGTGACTAAGTGCTGGATGCGAAGATGCATTGGTGATCTGCTTGATTCACCAGCAATTAAATCCCTTAATTGATCTATTAATGAGCAGTAAAGTGACTCATCAAAATGCCTGATAACCTACTTGCCCAGCAGATGAGAAAAGTGGTTAGTTTCTCGACTGAGAAAGCTGGGTGTTCTATCTGCTGGGTTGTTGAAGGGAGCTTTATTATCACCCCAAGTGGAGCCAACTGGGGATAGGGCTGGAAAAAGAGATTGACCACTGAAGACCAATTCCATGCCTTTGCTTCTGAACTTCCTCTCCCCATGACTCTCGTCCTGTGAGACCTAAAAGATGAAAACCTCCTTTTTTGCTGCTGCATCCCCGAAGCCTGGGCCTCAGCGAAATTGATCTGTAGGACCCAGAAGCTGTTGGCCTCTGTCCATCACCTTCTGCTGATGCAGGCCTCCTCTACCGAGGGTTGTGATTCACCAATAACCTCTTAAGTGGCATGATGAGTTTTTCATTGGTGGAGGTGAGGAGTCAGTCGCACCTAAATGTACCTGTCCCCCTCACTTGGACACCAAATGTATTTTTATAGGACTTTATTAGTCCTATCTCTGCATGGATCCTAAGGTCTTCCCATGGCAGCTACTAGATGAGTTGGATTGGCAGGCATAAGGGTGAAGGGAGGCAGATGGGACATGATTAGCAATAAATTGATTTAGGGGATTTAAAAAGCCATGGGGATCTAGGTGGGGAGCTTTGATTGGTCTGGCAGGTTGTAAAGGGGTGTTTTGTGCACTTTCATACACTTTAGCACGAGGAGCCATGTTGGTCTGTGGAGGGAAGCTTCGGGTTGGAGGGAAGATTTATTCTTTAAAATTTCAAGTTCAATACAGTTCCAGTGCATGAAGGCAATCCTCCCAGTCAGCTTGCCTCTGAACCTGGCAACTTCCACTCTTGTTCTGGGCTTTTCCAGCCAAAATTCCAGGGTGTCTTACCACCCAGGAATAAAAATTTGACCTTCCGGGGCATTTCTTTGTGGGTCAGCTTTGCGGAACCAGAAGATGCCCCAACTTTTCACTCTCGACCCAGGAGCAAAGATTCAGGACATTGTGTCAGCTACTCCCAACAAGTAGCTCAGGTTTAAATGCCCAAAATTGACTGATGCAAAATATGCAGAGCCGGTTGTTTGTTTTATGGAGGTACAGTAATCAGCGGAAAGGAACTCACTTTGTTTGATTGCTTATTTTTTTTTAAGTTTATAAAATCCTTCTGGGCATAAGGCAATGAGGTAAGAATTGATTCTGACCATAAATTCTGTCTTATGTTGTTAGTACGCAAAAGGTAACTCTCTTATTTTTTCTAATGTTGTCAAATAGAAGCTGCTATTTAGCCACGGTCATGGTGACTATGTTTTAATGCTAATTTAAGTTTCAAACAAATTTACATAATACGGTTAAATATACATTAAACAGGTATTTGTACTAAACAAAAAGCTCCATTCATTATAAAACTTCTAGTCTCCATCTTTCTGACAATGAATATAGCCCATACCACACAGCTTCTAGGGGATGAACTACACAATGATGGTGGGGAATGACTTTAGTCGCCACACTCCAGCAGAAATGGTCGCCGGCAGTTTTTGCAGATTTGATAATACGTGAGCAGTAGCCTTCACAGATTGAGAGTGGACTTCCTGCCCTTCGTTGACAGTTAGACTTGCCCTGGAGAGTTCCTAACCAAACTGATTGACTGGCAGTCAAGTGCTCCCAGCAGCGCCAAAATGCTGTAGTGGCCATTGCTGGGACTACATGTTCTATGAAGATTATCTGCAAGAATTTTCATGAAAGATAGGATCAGCGTTTTTGTCAGAGAGGATCAAGCATCCTAAGGAGAGGACTGTTGCAGAGAGTTCATTTTTAGACACCAAGGCAGGAGGTACAAAGGGGATGTACCATATTGGTATAGTTGACTCTAAAGATTTCTCTCTTGCTGTCATCCTTAATTGGTAAAGTAGGGAGTAAGCAACCTTACTTTTGCCTTACCTTACCCACTCTATAATGGTGGAGGAGGTGTAAAGGGGCCTTAGGTGCCCTCTAAATGGCAACTCAAGGCCTTAATAGACCCTCGTCCACCTGTTATATTATGTGGGAGGTGTAAAATGCAGTTGTAATTTTTTGTTCATCTTTAATGAGCAATATGTCATCAGTGTGATCGATCAGAAATATAGACTTGCTTAACTGGGAATGCCAGACCTACCCCTGGTCTCTGTCCAGAATACAGTTGGCTGATGCTTCCATTTGTTATAAGATGTCCTGTTAAAGGTACTTTTTGGAGACTGTTGATTAGATTGCTTGCTCTCAAAGTTTAGTCTTTAGAGTGCATGAATCCAAAACAGCTTTGTTGAATGAAAAATATTAGTGTGAATTGTGTCTAATTTAATCAGATATATGACTGTATTAGATACGTGACTTTAAGCTGGAGAAGGAGTTGAAAGGCTGTGGATTTTGAGCAGAGGTAAATTTGTATAAAGAAAAACGTTATTTTTGTGATCATTTACACTGTAATCAACTTTCCCGTCCCTTCCCTGTGAATTCAGAGGAACCACAATTCATTCTTCCCACAGCCCAGTACCTTAGCATCATTACAGTAGCTTTAAAACTCTGATGGTACCACAACAGTCCCATTCAGTTTATCAAATAAATCAAAAAAAGAGTGCTGTTTATTGAGGCCACAGATAAGTGATGAGTGGAAATATCACTTGGTCTTCCTGAAGGTGGGATGAACCCTGAAGGAGGCTGCATTATTTGGCTGATGTCTAAGAATTCACTACAGCCTGCACCTTTACATTACAAATGTTCTATGTGGTCTCAGGTTGAGTAATTGTTCCCTGTCACAATTTCTGTTCTGGTTTGTGTGAATGAACAGCCACCACTCCATTGCTCCAGTCAAAAATAACACTCCATTGGAAGAATAAAGCGGATAATAAAAACTTTGTATTTACTTGCAGTTTCCTGGTTAGTTTCATGGTGGATGCACGTGGTGGATCCATGCGGGGCTGCCGCCATAATGGGCTGCGAATTATTATTCCCCCTCGGAAGTGTACAGCCCCAACACGTGTGACGTGCCGCCTGGTCAAACGTCACCGACTGGCCACAATGCCTCCTATGGTGGAAGGAGAGGGCCATGCCAGTCGGCTAATTGAAGTTGGACCATCAGGTGCCCAGTTCCTTGGGTAAGTTCCAAAACATGCAAATCTGACAAACAAATCCAACATCTATTTTCTGATCGATCTAAAATACAGTCATTATCAATCCAAAGGCAGCATTATATCCTGTTAATTTTGCTAAATCTAAAAACATATGTTTGCAATGAAAAAAGCAAAAGATTAAAACCAAAAGAACTGCGGATGCTGTAAATCAGGAACAAAAACAGAAGTTGCTGGAAAAGCTCAACAAGTCTGGCAGCATCTGTGAAGAAAAAAATCAGAGATAATGTTTTGGGTCCGGTGACCCTTCCAAAGATTACTTTGTCAATAAATGATTCTTTGGACAAGGTCAGCATGCTCATATGCAATCACTGAAGAACTTGTGAATCTACATTGCTGAGCAGTGTGGTATACTAACAGACGGTAGTGTCTAACCATAATTTACAAAAAAATGAAAAATTTAAGCCGGATGCGTTTTAGTGTTAATTGTGAAATGTGAATGCTGCATCTCTAACATCATAAAATACTGTAATATGTTTCATTTCCAACACAATGTAATCAAAATGCTTCAAAAAGATCCACAGCAAGCTTTGTCTTTGCTCATCATTAGAGTACAATCACTAATCATTAACCAGCCACTATGGAACAAGAACCAAAGGAATAATACTCAATGGTACAGTCTCAAATTATAACTTGCAATATTTTCTTCAGTTTGTTATGTTAGGTATGTGCTATATAAGAAGATAAGAATCTAGGGAACGGGGCGTCTCCATTATGTTCCACAAGGCATTCTGTTTTGATTAATCAACCCTACTAATCCATTGACATATCATAACCTTAGTCCTTTCTCTTTCCACTGCAATGAATGGGATTTGAATTGTACATAAAGTTTTGGACTATCTTGTGTGGATTTTATTTGGATGGTTAATCAGTATTGTAGAATTATGACTTTTACTCAACATTAAACTAATATCTCAAGATCAATAATCAATTTAATAATGTCCAATAAAGTCAATGAGATACCAGCCAGTAAATGTGTGGACCGATTGATTGTCTAATCTTGCTGAAGCTAAGGAGTGGTAGATGGACGATGAATGCAAAACCCTATTAAGTATTAACATTACAGATATGTATTTGTACAGATCTGTACTAATACAGATATCTGCACTGGCATCCAGGTAGGGGAAAAAAGGTAGTATGTGTTATTTGCATACGTCACATAGTACTTACATATGTGCTTCTTCGCCACCCTCACCCCCTACCTTTCCATTCTCCACCTATCTACCTTATGCCACCATCTCTGGTTTCCTTTTGGCAAGTTAACCTTTTAATTAACCGGTATGAAACATCTTTTGAACTGTCAAGTTTTGTTATTACGGTTAACTTATTAACTTTAGCAGTATAAAAGACAGGGGAGGAAATTAGGAAAATAAGAGAGGAATTAAACATTTCATAACAATCATTTCAAGTGATTGTTCAGGCATTACAGAATCAATTTTCAATCAGCAATTTTTAACTTGTAAAGTATAATATCTAGAACATCGGCTATCAATTATGCTCCTTCTCAATCACTAATATCACTAATAAAAGTCTTCATTGCACCCTTGTAAAATTCCTAATAATTTGTCAAGCATTCCAGCATATATTTTAAAAAAAAGTATTGATTGCTTGTTGATTTCATGATAGGCAAGCAATATAGGTTTGAATAACAAAAAAAAACTGCAACCAAGACAAAGACTAAATGTTTGTTGGTTTTATACTTTTTTTTATCTCTCTTCTACTGCTGCTTTGGATTTACTCAGTAAACTACACCTTCCTAACTCTCCTCCCCCGCTAAATGAGGGAGAAAGCTTGGTTAGCCGAATCCTGCAGCTTGGGCCTTCAGGAACCAAATTCCTTGGGTAGGAGAGAAACACAAAATGTTCAGAGAAGAATTCATTGGATGCCACCATGCATATTCCCTGCAATCCTCTCCAACATTCTTTACATTTAATTTTTTTAACCCTTTTCCATTGTCCCTTATGCGTCTAAATATTACCCTTTCTGTGTTTATATGATGTATAATATATATAAAATATTCATTTATATATATTATCTATATATAGATCATCTTTGCTCGAGACAAACTGTGATGTTCTGTGGCTTTATGTCATGAGTGTTGTCGTAGCTGGGAATGCATGTGCTCAATGTAGTAAGGAACTTCCTTTGTTGCTTTCCTCCCTGTTCATTCCTTATGTTAATTCCTCATGTGTTAGTGGACATCTTATAATGTCCACTAAATCATATCTTCCTACCCTTGTTGAACTGTGTATTAAATTGTAGTCTGTAACAAAGTGAAATGGAAATTGAAATAAGTTTGATTAGAAAGATGTAATACAAGTGTGCTGAACTTCTCGTGTCTTGTTACCTATTGATAGGCTAGGATCCTGATAAGATTTAAAATGGTTAAGTCCTGAGTCTGAATAAGACTTAACTTTTTAAATCCCAAAATACAAGTTAAATCTAGTGTCTTGACTATTTATAAATAGTGTGGTTTAATTGTTTCTTCCTGTTCCTCATTTCTGTCCTGTGAATTATATTACTTTCCCTCATTTCTATACAACATGTGAGTTTTTTTATGTAGATGAGGAAGCTATAGTCAGGATAGAGGAGAACATTGTAAAATATTTAATATGCGCATTGATAGTAATACAATCAATTTGATTGTTCTGCCCATTCATTCCCTTTTCACTTTTTTTATTTTTTTTTAAATCTCTTGATGTTCCTCGCATTATTTTGTAGTTGCTGATCCATGGAATCATGTGGAAAATGTTATAATTTCTTTTGCTGTTATTTTTCTAATTACTGTTACTGCTCATTCTATTACTGTTCTCACGCTGTTGCTTAATTTGTATTTTTTTAACCATCCGCAGTGTCTGTGTTGTTCTTGGTTGTTTTACCCCTTTGAGCTGTCATTGCACATCTGATGCCGTGTACCACCATGTTCTGTGATTGATCTCCATGTAAGGGAAGATGTTAGACCAGGAGCTCTCTGATTACCAGCTAGTGGGCAATTTTATCTGCACTACTATTTGATGATCAGATCTTTCAGCTCCTCTTCCTTTGGTATGTAACATATTTTTGAGTAGCAAGTACATTAACAGAATCACTATTGCAGAACTAGCAAAAACACAGTCAATGTTGTTACCACACAAGGCTGTCAAGACATTGATAGCTAAATTTCAAGCAGAGATGAATGTGAACTAATTACTGATGATTCCTTTGGCATTTGTCGTTTTACTGTGTCAATGTATTATAGCATTGCTGCACTGTTCGATTTCAGTAAATCCTAGCAGTTTTGTCACTTTCTTAAGAAATAGTCCTTGTTCAAATACATGACCCAGGATTTATATTCTTACTAAAGACAAAAACTGAATTTCTACCATAGAGTTTAGAAACAGGTTTTATTTTGGAGTCCGAAACATACTTCCAATGTGAAACTAACTTTAATTTCAGATTTAAGCCTTGAATTTATATTAAAGTATGTTTTAAATCTGAACAAAGGAAAATGTGAAGCTATGAGGTAAAAACTCGCTTTGGCTACTTGGAAATTGCATTAAAAGGTATGATAATAGGCTGGCATTGGCTATCCTTTAAAGAATTAATACACTTTTATAACACATTTTTGATTCCTTTTTGAGGCACAGAAACCTAGCAGGAAGGGTGATTCAGCCATAGCTAAAGGGAGGGGTGGCAGAAGCATATAGGGGAGCAATGTTTAAGAGGCATTCAGACAGACACATAAACAGGCAGTTATAGAGGGATAGGAACCATGTGCAGCCAGATGCAATTAGTTTAGCCTGGCATCATGGTCAGCACACACATGGTAGGCTGAAGGGTCTGTTCCTGTGCTATACTGTCGTATTCAGTGTTGTGTTAGATCAAGACAGAGAACTTATAAAATTGCCAAAGAATGTAATATAACTGAGGATTGTGAGTATCTTAGAATTCAACAAAGGAGAAACATAAACTGATAAAGAAAAAGAAAATACAATCTTAAAGTAAGCTAGCAAGAAACGTAAAACTCAACTGTAAAAGCTTTTATAGATATGTTAAAAAAGGCAAAGATTAGCCAAGAGAAATGTGGGCCCACTACTAGCACAGTCTGTTAAAAGACCAGGCACTCATTGTACTACTTGTTTAGTGCTCAGGGCACCCCCTTCAGAACTGCATAGTCCTCCTTTTTCTTACTGACCTCCTCATGGGACCAGAGCCATTACTATCTCCTCATTCTGTACCCACATATCTCCAGCTGGTGACTTTCTGAAGGATCAACTATTCGCCACTTTAACAATTAGGACTATGACCCTTCACAGGCTTAAAATGAACTTTTAGAAGGTTCAATTGAACACAATTGGGAAAAGATCAGCATTCTTGTCTCACTGTCCTCCCACAGTGATTATTGCCAATACATTGACTGACTGGTGCCTTGCAATTGGCATGCCACCTGGTAACAGTATTTTTGAGGCTATCTTACTTTTGTTCCCTACTTAAAGGGGCCATCAGACATCAGGCCAAAATATGCACAAAAAATACAATCAAAAGACTAAATATCAAGTCCAAGTTCCTGCAGGTAATTATTTAATGTACACATTTAAAAGAAATTCAGCACAAATGCATTATATAAACAGTTCATTCAGATACAATAGTGAAAAGGTGGGAGATTTGCAAAACAGTAAGAAAATTAAGTTCAATTCAAAGTTTTCTTTAGTATTTTGACCATAAATCTCCTTTCTTTAAGTTACTCTGATCCATTTGTTGTTTTACAATTGATATTGTGTATGATATGATGTTTGTCATGAAAATATTAAATTTGTGTTAGTTTACCAAAGTTCAGAAATGCTTCAAATCCTTGTGGAATGTGGAGTGAAACCAGTAAGTCTATATTATAAACTTTTGGGATATTAATTAATTGCAAAGATCTTTACAAGATGTTTCTCAGCAGCAATATGTCACAAATTTCAGTTTATCAGCATGCCATTCAGCTCCAGCACCCCACCTTCATTTATCGAATTTTGGATATTGATTGCAATTTCAGTTGAAGTTAATTCCATTAAAGCAATAAATAATGAGAGAATCAGTAATTCTGATCTCTATCACCCCAGCATTAACCAGTTTTGGTGAAAATCTCAATACGAATGATTATTACCTCCTAGCACGATCATTTATATGAAAAAGGAGAGAAAATAAAAATTAAGCAAAGTACATTTTAGATGCTTCTTATTTCAAAAGTCACTAGATCAAAATAGCATGACACTAGGTTAACCTTACATTAGTTATTCAGTAGTCCCTATCCATGTTGAAAATGAATGCCAGCTCACTTTGTTACTGACTATATACAATTGGTAAAGAGTAGCATTAGACATGCTGGAATCAGGTCTGTTTCCACATTATGCTCATTCTTAACATCCGGTGTTTTAGGCCTGTGATTGTAGAGATTCCACACTTTGCGGCAGTGCGTGGGAAGGAACGGGAACTGGTCGTGCTGCGCAGTGAAACAGGGGAGACCTGGAAGGAACATCAGTGTGAATATACTGAAGAAGAGTTGAATGAAATATTGAATGGGATGGATGAAGGTACCAACTTTGGGGAATGAGGGTAGTGCAAGAGACAAGTAATGAGAAAACAAAGGGCCATTGTACTTATCTCATTACATATTCAGATAATCATGGGTCTGACATTCATCCCAGCCTGAAAATTCATTTGGATCAACTAAATCTATGTAAAGTTGTGCTTGTTTTGTGGGCTGGTGTGGGCCTCACCCTTGGATCTTGTTGGGAATCGCAAAAGGACTGAATAATTTTTGAAAAAAAGTGTGTGCTGAAACTGAGGCTGTAACAATGCCAATGTTAGTGTTCCAGTGTGAAGACAAATATCTTAACATGCAACACCCATGTTTGAAAAGAATCATGTACAGTCACAGATTAACTTGTTTCATACAGAATAATTACATCCAGTTCAGCAAGTCAGAGTTCTCTCTCATCAATTCAAGAATAAAAATTATTGAAATGTTTATTTTAGACATTTATTTTTTAATGGCAGAACTTCACTTTTTACATTCCACGTGAAATCTGAATTGATCAGAATTCTAGTTTATGGTTGTATAATTAAGAATTTAGGTAACTCTTGTGCTAAATTAATTATAATCTCTCTGTTCTATCGCACAAACATCATAACTGCTACTACTCCCACAATGCAGGTCATCAGACATTGTCAGATATAATTTCATTCTCACCTTATATAATTTGATTGCTCGAGCCAGAGCCAGCTGGGGTTGATGTCTGCAGATGTCTTCGGAAACCTATGATTAATCAGTTTTGCATGACTCCTTTATCAGACGAAGGTTAGCAAACCACTTTTCTAAAATTGCACACTTAATGATCTTGATTACGCCAGTAACTTAGGTCCTTATCATCATCAGCTTTCACTAGAATCACATCATTCTTTGTCTCTCGAATCCTCAAAACCCAACCTACACCACTCTCAGCATATACATTCTCAGGCACCAACAATACATATTTTAGTACGTATCTCTCATGGGATTTCTCTAACCTGTCTTTGTAAAATATATCAACTCTACAGTATTCAAGTCTGGACACTTTACCTACTTTTACGGCCCAAAATATTCAGAGGAAAAGCAATCGCGGTCAGTTTGGCAATCCACTCCTACCTTTTCCCACCAAGTATGAATTCTTCATGTCTGGCTGGCAATTCTGATTCTGACTCCTTGAGAAATGTGGAGCATACCCAAAATCCAACAGATCCCTCGCAGTGCAGGATATCAGGGGAAGTCACACCGTGCCCTGTTTTTCACAGCGGTAGATACCATATTCTGAGATTTAAAGATGCAACCACTTTGACAGATCTTCTGAAAGGGTAATTGGGTTGGTAAGTGTGGAATTGGGAGGTAGTTAGTTAAGGGATAAGGGCACCAGGTGGGTAAAATGCCAGGGTGGCATGTACATAAGGGGCCAGATAAGTGATTTAGTTCTTAGAGTTGGTAGGAGGGCAGCTACTGACAGCTATGCATTGGTTCAAGGGCTCAGGCCAGCAGTGGATACTTCTGAGGAATGCATAGATAGGTGTTGAGTATTGGGTTTTTTTTTGAGGAATGCAGAGGCGTGTTGAAGAAGGTGATGTCTCTTTTTTCCTGTCACCTTAAGTCCTGACAAGCAATGACTCTCTGGCTTTCAGAATATTTGTGCATATACATTCACTCCTCAGAATTATTATATTAACCATTTTAACTGCATCACCAACATTGGCATGATTACAATATTCGAACTATTTTGGCCCAGGCCATGCATTGCCATAAAAAAGTCCAACTTTATATTGATTTCATCGATCTAAATTGAATAAACAATACATTCTGAAAAAAAAATTAACAATGTTTTGATTGAATCACATTCAAGAGTTTTGGTTTCTAAAATAAGCAGATCATACTGATCATTAGAATGTAAATTAATGCCCATCGTATACAGTTTGAGCAGAAGAATTTCAATAATGGTGTTTTCTTTCCTATTTACAGTGCTTGACAGCCCAGAGGAACTTGACAAAAAACGTATTTGCCGTATCATCACCAGGGATTTCCCACAGTACTTTGCAGTTGTGTCCAGGGTCAGGCAGGACAGTAACTTGATTGGGCCAGAAGGAGGTGTGTTGAGCAGTACTGTTGTACCACAGGTTCAAGCTGTCTTCCCTGAGGGAGCATTAACTAAAAGGATTAGAGTTGGCCTCCAGGTAACTAATCTCCCAGAGTTTTAAACAAGGTGGCATGCCTGGGTCCAGTCGTCAAATATGTTTAAGTAGGAATATTAGTTCGCTGTTTTACAGATACTGTTAGCTGAAAAGCGTCTTTACTGTTTTCCTTTATTAATGTCCAGGCCCAGCCCATGCATGTTGAGCTAGTCAAGAAAATTCTTGGTAACAAGGCAACCTTCAGTCCAATAGTCACCCTGGAGCCTCGAAGAAGGAAATTCCATAAACCTATAACGATGACAATTCCTATTCCAAAATACTCTACTGAAGGGCTAATGAACGGCTACGGTGGAGACACTCCAACTCTCAGGTTACTTTGCAGTATTACAGGTAAGATACCAATACATGTTTGTAAATGTTGACACAAAGACAACTACCAAATACTAGTCTAGTGGAGTCTGCCATCAGCCTGACAGTCTGGCTGATTGTCATTGTATTGAAATGACAGCAACGTGACCATGGGGACATACCACTTAGAGCACTTTTCCAACCTAATTCCTGTATATTTACCGAACTATTTTTCTCCCCTGTCCATCATCTAAATTTTTTTTTACATGTCATTGAAATTTCTCTTGTGGCATATGCCTTCAATTTTCTCATACAATTGTGTGATACCTTACTGAACACCTTCAGAAAATTTATTCATATCTTCATCAACTAAAATCCATGCATTTTATCTTAAATTATAGATTCCAAGATTTGTCTACTAATCATGAAAGTTAAAGGCCTCAATTTACTTTCCTGGTTCAGGCACATGGAAACAAGGGTTCATGGGCTCTCCAAACCTGGTTTTAAAAATGGCGGTCTGCTGTTCCCATTTTTGGTCTGTCGGTACATACTCCATTAGAAAGTGGGCTGGGCAACCCAAGAAGAACGTGAGTAGCCTGTGATTTACCAAAGTTGACTGGGAGGAAAACCTACCTAGGGATTCCAGCACTATGTCCAAAGATGAAAATAAAGGAATAAAATATTCCACTAGCTCTCACTCCTTATCCATCCTCACACTGTCACCCCATCCACCTACAGTGCCTCATCCATGCCACCTCATGCCATCTACCCATCCCCATGCCAACCTGTGCCCCTCTACCTATACTCCATGTTACTCAAATAATGTATGCCACCCTATTACCCTGTACCCACACTCTATGGCCATGCCATCTTAGTACCTACTTTCATCTCTTTTACCTCTTCATGTACCATGCCAACCCACCCAGTATCCACAAGTACCCGTGACAAGACTTGACAGCTTTGTCAGTTCCTGACAGGTCTGGATATTTTTGATACTTCTTGATTAAACCTTGATATCCTTGACACTCCTTGACAGTTCTTGATGTTTCTGGTACTTTTTGTCAGTCATTGATACATTCTGCACTCCTTGACGGTGCTTGATGAGTTTGGCACTTGTGGACAGTTGTTGCTGTGTTTTATACTTCTTGACAGATCCTGACAGTGCTTGACAAGCTTCACACTTTGACAACTTTACAGTTTCAAGACGTTTGTGTAGCTTTTAGACATAATCTTCTCTACTGCTAACAATCCCAAAGGGTACCTACCCTCTCTTGTCAAAGGACACCTGACCCCTGCCACTACTGGAACTGTTTCCACAGGGGGAACGTCAGTTGTCCAAAACAAATGCACTGAAAACAGGTTTGCTCTGAACTGGTCTCTTCTGTGTACTCTGCAGTGGGTTTATTTAATTGGAAGCAACTGAATTTTTGTCTGCCAACTCCATGTCTACTCGTATGGAAATTGGTTTTGGGACTTTGCATTTCTGAGTACTTCCTGCATTTCTGCAACATCAGAAAGGTTCTCTGACGTGCCAGACATGTGGACTGATGTTTCTGAACTTATCCAGTGCTCAATACTTGTACATCAACATTACAATGACTATTTTTTACACCTAAGATGCTATTTTCATATTTAAGGGAGATTGAAAAATTGTGGTCAGAGCTACTGATGCCTCATTAATAGGGGTCACACATTTAAGACCGAGCTAAGGGGGAATTTCTTCCCTGAGGGTAGTGAATCTGTGGAATTCTTTACCACTGAAATACTGTTAAGACTAGGCCGTTCAGCCTATTCAAGGCTGAAAGAGGCATTTTTTAATCAATGTGGGAACCTAGTGTTAGAGGGAAAAGACAGGAAAGTGGATTTGAGGATTATCAGATCAGCCAGGATCTCATTGAATGGGGGTGTAAATTTGATTGGCTGAATGGCCTACTTCTGCTCCTACATCTGATGGTCTTTCAATAGTTGGAATCCAAGGGCTTGATATTTGCGGATATGCCAAGTCAACTGCTAAAAATGGTGAGCAGGAACTGATGTCAGAATTCATGGCCCCATTTCTGACAGCTCAAAACGTTACCAGGTGGAATGGGGAGGGTGACATCTTCAAACAGGCCACATTTTGGCTGTTAAAAGGGTTTTTAGTTACAGTGTGAAAGTCACAAACTGATGGAGTAGGTGTAAATTCTCATGAAGGTAAATATTGTCATGGGATTTTAGAGTCATGATCTGAAACTCATTAAATCCCCACGCATAACTATAAAAGAAAGCAGGCATAAGCTGTCAGTGAGAATTAAAAAAATAACCATTTGCTTGAGTACTTTAACTTCCATAGCATCCTGATAGAGTCTTTGTCTTACTGTATCAAACAACGTGGTCTGTGATAGTGGCTGTGATGCATTATCACTTGTTTTTCTTTATTCATTCACTGGCTGGACAAGCATTTATTGTCTCTCCGTACCTGGAGTTCACCATCATCTTCTCAAGGGCAAGTAGGGGGTGGGCAATAAATGCTGAATTAGCCAGCAAAGCCCTTATTCAATGAACAAATGGGATACTTTGAATACAAATGAATACATTTGACCATAGCATCTTTCTTGCAATTTCTTTATCTGGGTCCAGCTTTGTTGATTCCTGGATATTCTGTTAGAGGCATTAAATGGCTTTCACCAAAGGAGGCGGCATTTTGACCATCATGTCCATTCCAGCCAAAAAGGATCCATCGAACTTAGTCACAAACTCCAACTCTTGCCTCTGTAGCCCTGTAGGTTACGGCATCTCAAGTACATATTCTTGGGTGTATTCTATGGGGTGACAGATTACTCCTCAGTGGACACAGAACATTCCCAATGGACACAGGGTCCCCAATTAGCTTATCCCCTTTCTGTGCCTTCCAGCACCCCAGCAGAGAAAGCTCATGCCCCTACCTTTCCTTGTGGATAGAAACTTTAAAATAGGGTTGGAATCAGGCCCTTAAGTGGCAGCTGAATGTTCACTTGCAGGTGTTCAATAGGCCCAAGGGCAGGCAGGCTGCTCGATAGATAATCTCTCCCCTGTAGTATGGATCAGGGTAAATATCGTTAGATTTTGGGGCATACGTGACCACAGTTACCTTAAAATAAGCAGTTGACAGATTGTATTTTCAATAGTTTGCTAAATTTGTAAAGAGGTAGCAATTTAGTTATGGTATACTGGTTATTTAGACAAGAAAGTATTCGTCCATGACAGCTACAGATTGTTCACTGATACCAGAGGATGAACAGGCAGCTGGCACAGAGTGTGTGATCTCACTAATATTGTGAAGGCAGCATCCTGCGCTCGGCTGAACTTTTGGGAACTCTTCCCAGGGTTTTCCCTCAGTCTCTCTTGATCTGATTCCACCTGAAGGAGACAAATCCCTGTCAAGGACTGTGCACTGATTCTGAGCAATAGTGCTGATATACACTGTTTCTAAGGGAAGGTGGTTTACACTGTGTCAGTCACCCATTTGAATCTTTCTTGCCAAAGGACTTAGGGCTCAAATGAAAATACCAGGGACGGCAGGATGAGGTGCCTAAGTGACTTAATTAGCCACCTAAGGGCTTCAAGAGGCCGAAAGGTGGGCAAGTTATAGAGAGCCTGCCTGTAAATCTCAGGCAGGGACAGGTAGCCGATGCGAAGGCCATCTGCTGGATATTACATGCTCCTGTCTTCAAACCAACATTGAAAAGCATAAGGTGCAGGGCTGGATGAACACAGCAGGCCAAGCAGCATCATAGGAGCAGAGAGGCTGACGTTTCGGGCCTAGACCCTTCATCA